CCATCTCACCAAGTCATCTTGTTGTAATATTTAGTTCTTTTATCTTACTTATCCTATATAGTTTCATACTGCGTATTATTAATAGTAATTATAATATTAACTATTCTTTTGCCTTTTCTCATTATTACTTCATTAAAAGAGTAATTCATATTTTTGAAGTATTTATTTGATCTATGAATGATAGTATTAATTTATATAAATATATTTATATTTTTTTTTATATAGTGTTAGGTTCCTAATAAGCGTGATGCTCATCAAAATTGTTTTAATGCTCATAATAGGTCTGATGCACATTAAAAGTTTAATAATGCTCATTTAACAGAAACAGTGTTTTCATCTCAATATATGATATTTGATGCTCAATGAATATGTTGTTATTCAAAGTAACAAACTTTGCGATTTTCATATCTAGGAACATTTTGTAAGATGTGCATGCTTATCTGGTATTGATCTTATGCTTATTTTCTAAATGTCATATCAACATATTTTCTTTAAAGTACTGTTTTACATTAGGTTCACATATTGAAATTCATAGGAGTTGATTAGAAATATAATTTAATAAGTTTTTATAAAAGGAAAATTATATTTATATGACATTGTAAAAATGAGCATAACATGATTACCAAATGAACATACATAACTTACAAAGTGCACATTGATATGAAAATCGTAACATTTGTTAGTTGAACATCGTGACATTTTAATTGATTTTTCAACCTCCACTATTGATACTTTTGAAATATGCATTGATATGAATTGTAAAAATGAGCATTACATTAGTAACAAATGAGTAATAATGAACTTTTAATGAGCATCAAACCTTTTATATTGAGAATTAGGAGTCCAATATTCAGAATCATGATCTCTGCTTCATAACTTCTAATTCACTTTCTTTTTTTGTTATTTTTTCTTTTATAAAAACTTATTACATTATCTTTATAATCAACTCCTATGAATTCCATTATGTAAATGTAATTTAGAATAGTACTTTTAAAAATGCATTGATATGACATTTACAAAATGAGCATAACATCATTACCTGATGAGCATACGTAACATACAAAATGAGTATTAATGAATTTTTTTAGTTGTTTTGTTAGTTGAACATCACAACATTTTAATTGAGCATCAAACCTTCGTTATTGAGATGAAATTCACGGTTTCTGTTGAATGAGCATTAATGAACTTTTAATGAGCATCAGACCTATTATATTGAGTATTAGAAGTCTAATATTCAAAATCGTGATCTGTGCTTCATAAAAAATGAGCATAATATCAGTATCGATTGAGCATATGTAGCTTACAAAATAAGCATTAATATGTTGAGCATACGGACATTTTTCATTGAGAATTAAACCTCCTCTACTGAGTATTAAAAGCGTGCAATTGAGTACCGATTGAGCATCAAGACGTTTTTATTGAGTTCAAATCGCCTGTTAATGAGCATCAGATGTATTCTATTGAGCATTAAGAGTCGAATAATGAGTAATGCGATATCAATTTCATATATTGTAATTCACTTTCTTTTTTCTTTTTTTTTTCTTTTATAAAAACTCATTAAATTATAACTATAATCAATTCATATGAATTTCAATATGTGAATCGAATATAATATGGTACTTTTAAAATATGCATTGTTATGACATTTTAAAAATGAGCATAACATGAGTACCAATTGAGCATATGTAACTTACAAAATGAGCATATATATGAAAATCATGAGGTTTGTTAGTTGGACGTCACGGTATTTTCATTAAGCATCAAACCTCCTATATTGAGATAAAAATAACGCTTTCTGTTAAATGAGCATTAATGAACTTTTAATTAGCATATGTAACTTACAAAATAAGCATTAATATGAAAATAATAAGCTTTGTTAGTTGAGCATGAAGACATTTTTTCATTGGGCATCAAACCTCCTCTATTGAGTATTAGAAGCGTGCAATTGAGTACCGATTGAGCATTCATAAATTATAAAATGAGCATTAGTATGACAATCATAAGTTTTTTTAGTTGAGTGAGCATCAAAACGTTTTAATTGAGTATCATGATCTCTAATATGACTTGAAATATGCATTGATATGACATTTTAAAATATGCATTGATATGACATTTTAAAATGAGCATTTAACCAATACCAGATGATGAGCATATGTAACTTACAAATGAGCATTTAACCAATACCAGATGAGCATTCATAACTTACAAAATGAGCATCAAAAAAATTCAAAAGTTCAATTGAAATCTCTAATGTGTTCAAATATTCATTTGTGTATATTCATTTATCAATGCACATTTAAATTAAATAATATATTCATAATTATTTAGAAGATTGGAGCTTTTAATAGAAGAGTGAGAAAAGTATATGTTTTTATTGAATTGCTATTCAATATGAATTTTTGAAAGAATTGCATGAAAAACATATTGTAGAAAAATTACATAAAAATAAAAAAGTAAGAGTTCAAAATTAGAGAACCGGAAGACAAAAGTATATACAAAAAGAAAAAAGAAACAAATGAAGCAGAAAAAAGAAAAAGAAATGTTAAAGTTAGAAAAAATAAAGTTCAAAATTAAAGGAAAAGAAAAAAGAAAAACCAAAGCATGAAAAAGAAAATAAAAACTTAAACATAGAAAACTTAAAGTTCAAAATTAAAAGATAAGAAAACAGAAAAACGAGAACTATAAAAAGGTAAAAAGGAAAAACGAGAAGGAGCAACCAAATGATGAGTGGATAAGGAAAAAGTGTAAATTACTCGTAACTATTAAGAAAAGGAAAAAGAACAAACGAAAGAGCAGCGACAAGGAAAAGTAGCAAATGCCATGCTCCGTAATTAACCACCTCAAGTTTATAAGTAATTACAAAAATACCTGGATGTACCAAATCACACGGTACATCCGGGTGTATGATATATTTTGCCCACATACCGGATCTTGGATCATGATTTTTTGATCTGATTTTGTTTTATGTAGACTAGTTATAAAATAAACGGATATTTATTTTGCTCTGTTTATTTATATTATTCTTTAATTTGTACCAGAACACAATTGGCAGAAAGAAGTAAGGGCAGGAGTTTGGAATCAAGAATCGGAAAATCGAACCGGACCGAGCCATTATGATCCGATTCGGTTCGGTCAAAACATTTTTAAGTTACTCCATACTACGTATTTGTTAATGGATTGGTTCATGTGTATCTTGTTATTGATAATGATTCTTGTGAATGAACCATTATTTGGATTAGTATTAGAGTTTTAGACTATTTTATCTACAAATCACTTGTTAAGTGTTATTTTGTGAATAAGCAAAACACACTATGCACTTTCTTTTTATCCCACAAGTTTTATCTTGTAACCTGATTACTAATTAAGGGTAAATAATAAACGTGTAGGAAAGCGCAAATTTTACGTGACTAGAAGATATATCCGATCTCCGAGCCATTTTATACCCTTACATTATACCAGTCACTTCAATTGAATTTATTTCTTCGTATTAGAATATGTTAGAATCATGAATTGATTTCGATAGGGTATAGATCAATCTTCAAGATCCTTCGAATTCTATATTTGGTACATAGCTATTAGATTCAACTCAATTATTAATCTTCTCATATAAGGAAGGTTAAGAGCCCGTTTGGTAGCACCAAAATCGGCTGTTTTGGCTGATTCTGCTGAAATTTATGATATTCTGGCTGGAGTGGCTGTTTTGGCTGATTCTGCTGATTTAAGAAAAAAATATTTTAAAAATATATTTTATTAATAAATTAAAGAAAAAATTATATGTAAAAATAGCTAAAATGATCCTCTACAGTAACTTCAGCCAATACAGCCAGAAAAGTAACTCCAACCTTACTTTTTCGGCTTATTACACAATTCAGCGCGCGAAAGTAAAAGTTACGTGTTTGATGAAAAAGCTGGCTGATAAGCCTGATAAGCCGAAAACAGAGTTCTCCAAACGGGCTCTAAATATGAACTATTTATCGGATTTAATAGATTTAATCTCTTTTTGAACTGAAATAGTTAGGCAAATATATATAGCTTTAGGCCATCTTTCATATATACATATATATACCAATTCCAATCCGCCCAACCATGGCTTCAGGAAATTGATACAATTAAGTGGACACGTGACGTGTGAATAATGGCAGTAATTAGTGGGTAATGCATCTACCTTATAAAAATGATGATTTTATTTTTGGTATGATACAATCATCATAAATAATTATTGATAGATATTCATTATTTTTGCACTTATTTGTTAATTGTACGTACGTATATAAGGAGTGTTATGGCGAATTAACGCATTAAGTTTCTAATTATACGTATATAAGTTTCTTTCTTGCCAATATATATACCTTAAACGTACGGAGTATGAGTTATCATAACTCAAATTTAGTTTCTAATTTCAGGGTTCAAGTAAAAAATGAGAGATGCATTACGCGTCATGAAATCATTCCCGAGCTTGCCGCGATTAGTTGTGATAGATCTCGACTACACTTTGTGGCCCTTTTACTGGTAAGCATGCCTCCCCTCTATAGTTTTCATTTTAATAGTATTATATATTGAACCATTATTCAATATAATACTCGATAAGTATTAGCTAATTACATGAACTCCTATCGAAAAAATAGTATTAAAATTCTAGATAGAGGTGATGCATATATGTAGATCAGCACTTATTATCGAGAAATAATTAAAAAACTAGTATCAAAGTAAGAAAATTTTTCAAGGTTACACATTTAATTCTTTTTATTTTAATTCGAGTAAGTTTGATTTGGACATTTGAATATTTGAAGTACTTTTTGTAGGAGAGCTTCGATTCCGGTCATTTTAATCTTAAAATTGCTCGTTTCGTGTATACCGAGTCAAATATTTGTCTATTCTTAAGTTCTAAGATTCGATCTGTAATAATTTGAATGGTCAGGAAGTTGTTTTCCATATTTTTTAATACTAATCTGATCTGGTCTATTTTATTTAAGTCTAATCCTAATTGGTCTGATAGATTTCTGACCTTTATGTTTTTTACAACCGCAAAAGTTTGATTTTGTGTGATAGAGTTAGGTCAAGTATGGTCTGTGTTGGGACCGAAATAATGATTGGCAGTTTGGCAAGAAGATGCATACAAATGTACAATAATCACTGGTTTGGTAGTATATTATGTGTATGTAGCTATATGGTGTGTAAAACAATGACTCCCTCCAGTAACACACATACATATGTGTGAGTGGTTAATTAATGTATTTGTGCATCTAGCCAATATTAAATTTGGCAAGTAAAATCATCTTAAATATTGATTTATATTTGTAGCGATCTCAATATATATTTGTTCATTTATATTTAGGCTTATCAAATACTCCGTACTACGACGTATAACTTCTTTACAACTTAATTTGTTTGAATTTTACTCAAGAATCACGATAGAGTTTATACCAACGGTTAATGCATTCACCTACCCCAAAAAACATTTTAAACTTGGTAATATATATAGAATCATTGCAAATAATAATGATTCAATTCGTATCTTAAAATGTTTTTGTTCACTGACAACTTAATGTTGTGTCGCATTTGATAACTTAATTTATCATTTTTTTTTGTCAAAATTTTACTGTAACATAGAAATTTTAATTTAATTTATATCCTCATTTTTCAGTCATAGCCGATCTGAACATGATTACGCAGAATTGTTTCCTCAAGCGAGAGAGATATTAGTGGCTCTATATGAAATGGGAGTTGGCGTTGCAATTGCCTCAAGAACACCCACTCCAAACATAGCTCGTGTTTTCTTACTTAAGCTAGGTTTAGGATCAATATTTATTGCAAAGGTAGTATCTAATTTACCCCCTTCACATTAAATTATTTATATTTAATTGATTTATATATCTGTGATTTTGATGTGTGTATATATATATATATATATATATATATATATATATATATATATATGTGGTTGTTAATTTTTTATTATGATGATTAGGAAATGTTTCCAAGTAGGTCACCCAAAACAGAACATTTTGAAAGGATCCATAGAAGAACAATGGTGCCTTATAATCAAATGTTGTTTTTTGACGATGAGAAAAGGAACATTGATGCGGTAAGTCCACTGCTTAGCTATAAGTGTAATATATTTCTCGTTAACTTAATTTTTTTTTTAATTTTCATCAAGTTCACAAATTTATTCTAATCTTTATCTTTTATTAAAGAGACTCAAATTTCATCTTTTTAAATTAGAAAAGTTGTGTCAAATTATCACTTATCGGTATCAATAATGTTTATATATTTCAATATTTGTATCTAATTAAATAATACCTATTCCGTAGTAACCAGTCATTTACCTTTTGTATAATTTTAGCGATAACTAAAATAAACGGGAAAACTGTCAATTTGGTTCTCGTACTATCACAAAAAAGTCAATTAGGTCCTCGTATTTTAAAAAAATTCAATCAAATCCCGAACTTTGTAAAAACGTTCAATTGTGTCCATTTGCAGGTTACTTGCCGTGTCAGCAGATCATTTGCTGACGTGACGCACACGTGGACCGCCACGTGTGCACCGTGCCATCATCAAATGGGTGATTGGACTTCCACATGTGTGTCACGTCATCAAAGTCGCTGCTGATTGGACTGCCACGTGTGCGCAGTCAGTGGATGACCTACTGACATGACAAGTAACCTGCAAATGGACACAATTGAATATATAGTTGATTTATTTAGCTACTAATCTAAAATGTAATCATTTTTTTAATTTAGGCATCTCAAATGGGAGTGACAAGCGTGTTGGTAACCAATGGCATAAATCTTAAAGCTCTATATGAAGGACTCTCAGCATTCCATCAACGCCATATTCTACCTCCACAACATGCATTTATGATACCCCATCACCATCCTAGTCGAATTGCGCCTCCCGCCCAACCTCAACTTCATGGGTATTGCAGCACGTCACATATTGTGCAACCTCGCCCAGAAGGATGTTGCAACATTCCATGCATGCATTTCAAAATGATGTCATTATGTCGCTATCGTCACCATCACCATCACCATCACCATAGCAATCGCCATAGGCACATTTAGCCATGTTTCAAGTTGACTTGTTCTGATTAATACTTTATTTAATTACATAATATTAACCATATTATCATGGTTCCTTCTAATTTTTTCATACAAGTGATCAAGATTATGTTATAAACAAAGATCTTGTATTTATGTTTTGTTCTAATTCACTCATACATGACACGTAGAGACGTAGAGTGGGGTTTGCTTATGATCATCAAACTAATTAACTTTAGGTTTTGTAAGTTAGTATGTATGTTAGTTCTTTTCAAGATGTTTTTAGTTGGACAGAAATTTTTTGGTCTGATCTAATTCTAGTCTAATCTAATCTAATCTTGTCTGGTCTGATCTGATCTGATCTGGGCTCTGTATATTTTATAATTGTACAAGTCTAATCTGACCTGCTCTAGTCTAGTCTGATCTGGTCTGAGACTGAAAACAGTCCAAGTACAAAAAAATCAGTATGAATACAATTTAATATAGAGTATTATTATTAACATTGTACAAAATATGAATATGAATGATAATTTCGTCATATATAGAGCGGGGGGGAGGGGGGAACTTGGGGTGTCATGTCGGGCTGGGTCCGAAAAATCGAAAACCGAAAACCGAATCAAATTAAACCGAACCGTAGCCAAATAAAACCGAATTGCTACGAAACCGAAATCGAATGTAAAAAACCGAACCGAACCGAAGTTGTTTGGTTCGGTTTTGGTTTTTACCCTTCAAAACCGAACCGAACCGAACAAACCGAACTATTTAAAATATGAAATTTATATGTTAATTGTTAAGCATTAATTCTAATAAATCTTAATATCATCAATAATCTTTGGTTTTCTTGTGTTAGAGAAATAATGTTTGTGTTATGTTTAATTTAATTTAGTTTATAAATTCATTTACACATTTCTGTAATAATGTAGTTATATTGAATGATGATAATATGTGTTTACTAGTTATTAGTAGTAATTAACTTTTATATTAGATAACCTAAAGATTTTATATTGATAAAACAATAAATATTCATCTCAACTATATCACATAGAACATATATATTCATGAATTTTTTTCAAATTACTCACAAACAAATTAAATCAAATCAATAATATATACCGTTTTATCTATCTCGCAAACTAATATAATTCAAGACATATTTATCTACTCTTCTCATTTTTATTTTATTTGTTGTTGTATTGTGATTGCATTCTTTATGTAACATGTTTGATCTCTCTAAGTGTTATATCAATTTTAAATCAAGTGACAATTTTTTGGTAAAAAACCGAAAAAACCGAAACCGAACTGAAACAAACCGAACCAATCAAACCGTGGTTCCAAGTTTTAGAGTGTAAAACCGAACCAAAACTGAACCGAACTTTTTACTTTGATTCTATATTTGGTTTTAGGTCAAAACCGAACCGCAAGAACCGAACCCACCCCTACTGTCATGACTCATGAGCGCCGGGTACCTACTGAATTTTGGATCAGTATGTTTTGATCTGATTTTTATATCTAGCTAGGCTAGTCTTACTTGGTCCATTAGAAAAAACTTTAGTAATTAGATCTTACGTAGTACGAGTTAGGGGTGCACATCGCGGGTTGGGTCGGGTTTGCTATATTTTTTGGGCCTACCCAATTTATTCGGGTTGGCTATTTACCAACCCGCGGTATGAAATATAAGTTGGTAAACCATGCATGAACGGGTCGGGTAGGGTCGGATATTGAAAGGATTTTATTTCGGGTTGAATCTTTAATATGTGCAACTAACACATGCAATATGAATCTCGGTTAACTTGTTTCCAAAATACACAAACAAATGCAAGTACTTTTTATAAGAGTAAACTTAGGCAATAGTATCAAAACATTCTTGCGTAAAGGCAATTAATTTAGAAGCAAATGTGTGTATATATATACTAATCACCTAGTAAAAATGTTAAATGTTTATAATGCTAAAGTCACACTCTTAGATAGAGCACATACATCGATCTTAAACAAAAATTATCCAACAAAACTTTGTAGCATAAATATAATAAATTGAACTTTCGGTCTGGTCGGGTACTATCGGGTTTGAGATTTTAATTTCGCAACTCTACCCATTAGGTGCAGGTTTGTACATATTTAACCCGTGAATATTTTTAAAAATCAAATACCCAATTAAAAGTGATCGGGTAGAGTTGGGTCGGGTGGGTTATGCAGGTTCGGGTTATTCTTGTGCAGCCCTAATACCAGTATATTAGCCCCTCAAATATAATTAAAACGTGGATTAAATTAAAAAAAACGGCACTAGGTATGTTTTATTATGTCCCTCAAATATGATTTCTTTATGTAATCTGCTTGAAAAATAAAAACTAAAGACTTACCAAAAATGAGCCAACGAGTCACATAAAAAAGTTTTGTATGAGTGGGCTACATTGTAGGTCAATTAATTCCAAGGAAATATAGGATTGGGTCAGTGTGAAAGTTTTTTTGACCATGTGTCGTGAGTGCATCTTCAATGTTAAGGTGAATTTTGGAACCACCTGAACAAATGCAATCTTTGAATGGAATTGTCTACTCCAATGTCAAAAATAGATATTGTGGAGTTAAATAAAACGGCATACGGACAAGCACAACTTCCATGCGTGGCATTGTGGGCCTTCGGCGCCAGTGCGCCACCTTCTGACCAAAGCAAAGAAGTGGTGGGTGTTTATAGCAAAATAAACTAATCTAGAAAGATTATTGATTAGGTGACAACTCCGGTACTCATTTAAAAAAAAGGGTACCGTACCTATCATGCATTTGATTGGTCCAACTCATTAAATCCCTTTTAATTTAGATTTAAATAATTCAACTGCATGATTCTGATTGGTCCATGTGGACAAAGGTACAGTACCTTATGGGTACCGTAGAATCTACCTATTGATGGGAATCAAGCAAATAGAATCAAACAAATGCTAAATAATTCGGCCGTGATGATTGATATTAGAAAGTATTAATATTGAGAACAAGAGTGTTTTGATCGTGGGTGTATCTTGATAGCAAAAGTGGGAGCCAAAAGTGTGTTACAATGACCAGGAACTATTCTATTTATTTAAGATTGGATTTCCCTTCCCGCAAGGCTAGGCGCACGAGCCGATTTTCTTGGCTTCACCCACCTGCTTCGTTGCACGTTGAACTGCCAATCTCCATCCCTGATTATTTGCTGAATTCAAATAACAGGAACTTTATCTCTCTCTTGGGCTTGATGCTTTTCTACTTAAATTATTTCACAGCCCACTAAGTGATTGTTTTGTTGGGCCTAACAGTGGGCCTTTAATCGATCATGAACAGTCAGTCATTTACTTTGCTCAACTTATAAAGCTGTGAGAAAGTTGGACAATGATCAAAGATCAAAACGCATCTGACTCTTGTTATGATTGGTTAAGTCACCTGATTGAAACTGTATATGAGGTCGAGTTTCTAGTATATAGGACTATAAGATCTACCATTGTTATGATGGATTAAGTCACGTGATTTATAACCTTCCATATATATATGCTCTCTCGATCGAGTAAGGGCTTGTGGGACTCCTGAGTAGGGCTGTAAATGAATCGAATAATTTTGATTCGATTCGTGATTCGAATTCGAAAATGCCGATTTGAATTCGTGTAAGTAGAATACGAATACAAATATAAATCTATTTTTTGATTCGAATACTTTAAGAATACGAATACAAATACTATGATATTCGATTCGAGTAATATTCGAATATATTCGAATTATATATATATATATATATATATATATATATATATATATATATATATTCATACAATATATACTACTTCTTATAAATAAATTAATTCAATATAAAATATTAATAACATAATATTCATGTAAATATTTTTCATATTTTAATTTAAAGGTTCTTACTTTACCTGGTAAAAGTAGCTTAATTTACAATTAAAATTCTCTGTTACGTTGATTTCTTTATATTGATATTAAATTTGAAGTGACTTATATAAATATATTTTGTTTCGTATGAAATATGTAATATGAAAATGAGTTAAAAGGAGCAAACTATACATCATAATTTTAATTATTTTCACAATTTAACTTTAATTTTGTTCGAATTTGAATATTCGAATTCGATTCGAATATTTTTGAATATATCAAACGAATCGAATACGAATATAAAATAAGATTCGAATTTTAAACGAATACGAATACGAATATTCGATAATTTTACAAATACGAATAATATTATCAAGTATTCGGTTCGATTCGATTCGTTTACACCCCTACTCCTGAGGTTGGGAATTTAATCTTCTTGGACATGTGTTCGGCACTAGAGGGGTGTTTAGTTGACTCTTTTTATACTACCTCCGTTCTTAAATAAGTGCAACATGTGAAATTTTACACTATTCAAATGTTCTACTTTGACTACATTTTATTTATTGATGTATTAATATACTTTTTTGAAAAATATATTATTAAATTTGTCGCATTGTAAATTTTCAAAAACTGATTTTTTTAAATTTCTTACTAATAGAGAATTATATATATTAATGGTCAAAGTTGTGCCTCGGCAAGTGTGAAATGTTGACTGTTGCACTTATTTAAGAACGGATTAAGTATAATATTGAACCCAATTTCTAAATAGACATTGTCCAAACATTTGTGACTCCACTTCAATTCGAACGGATCGATTAGAGCATTTGAGATGAGCATCGGAAATGCTCTGAGCATGTAATTAATATAAATTTCATGAATATTAATAGTTTATATGTTATTTATAAGGTGTATATATAATTAGTTAATTATAACTTACAAGGTAGGTCGCAGCCAGGGCCGGCTCAATAAATTAGGAGACCCGGTGCGAGTCACAAAAAACAGGCCTTATATTAAATCAATACAATACCAAAAATAACTTTAAGAAAATCCAAAAAAAACTAAAAACAAATGTGAGATTGAGAAATGATCACTTTTTTGAACTTGAACAAATAAAATTAGTAAAAAATCTAAAATCGGAAATGAACAAATGAAAATAGGATAAGAAAAAGTGAATTTTTTACCTTTGGTTGGATAACCTGAATAGTTAGATCGTTCGGGCAAATAAAGTAATCAACTATTTCCAAAAATAATTACCCTATATATATACACACTATATAGATTTTACAAAAAATGGGCCTTATATTTTTGGAGGCCCTGTGCAAAGGCACACTTTGCACGCCCTCATCTACGGCCCTGGTCGCAGCATGTCAGTTTAATTATATAGAGAAAAGTAAATATAGGGTTAGGCTAGTTAAAAACTTAGTTTGACAATATAATGCTTCACGTGATTTCTTGAAGTGGCAAATCTCCTCTTATCACGGGTGTTCACGTGAACATCCAAAAATAAAAAACAATGGGCATATATATAGAGTTTGATTCAAATAAAAAATATTTCTTAGATGAAAAATAAGAATTAATCTTGGTCATTGATGTGAAAAAATGGATGGACGAGATCAATTTTTAGGTTGGAAACGCGGTGGCATATTTGTAATTATGTAGAACTTTTATTGAAATTTTTGTTACAAATGTGCATCAGAATGTTCAAAAAGTGCACAAAAGTGCAACACGATACAAAATAAAAAGTGCACAAGTTGGAAAAAATTTAACAATCTTTTTTGACACGCATGAGTGCACTTTTAATCATTAACTATCCACTTTATAGTATAAATGTTTCCACATTTTTTGAAATAATCTCTTGTGTTTAAAGTTCATCTAATCCATCCATTTTTAAGTGATGAAAGACCAAGATTTGTTCTCACTTTTACTTGAACCCACCCATATATATATATATATATATATATATATATATATATATATATATATATATATATATATATATATATATATATATATATATATATATATATATATATATACACACACACATATATATATGGAGTATATAATTAGAGTAATAATTTAGTTATTGAAACTTTTAAAAGAAAATGTGTACTAGGTACTGCGTACTATTCTTGCATGGACTGTTTGTTTGTTTGTTTTTGAAAGTTGGACTGTTTGTTTTTCTTTCAAATATGTAGAAGAGCAATCCTCTGCTTAAACGTTAAACCCAGAAGAGTTTACCGATGATGTTTCGTGTACTGCTCCAAAAGGGAATTCTTTCTAGTGATCGATTTTTATATTGTACTATATGTACATTATAAAAGGTTCAATTTAGAGTAACTTCGGTCAATGTAGCAGAAAAGTAATTACAGCCTTAATTTTCTTATTATTATGCAACTCAACGCGTATAATTAAAAATTACTTGTTTGGTGAAAAAGTACTGATAAGCTTGATAAACCTAAAAACAGTGTTACCAAACAGGCTCTAAATTTTGGTCCAAAACAAACCCAATAAAAAATATCTAAAGTGTGAACAAAATTATTCGAGAGAAACTGAAGCAATGTAATGGGCAACCCTAACCCCTTTCCTAAAAATGAAACCTTTCATAGTTTCATCTGATCGAACAAGCTTCTAACCAATGTTCTAAAAGGCGCTAGGCGCTAGTCGGGCGTCAGCCCAGCGCCTAGCGCCTAGTCGGCTAGGCGGGCGCCTAGGCGGGGACTAATCGGAGACATCAAATTGTAGTTTTATCAATATTTTTGCATAAATATGATTTGTAATGTTGTGTTTGTGTGTGTATAAAAAATATATACACACACATACACATTAACATGCATGAATGATAGAGTTATCACATTTAATAATATATTATATCTTCTCACTTACTCATGACTTGTAGCTTTCTTCACATGCATTGTCAAAGTTAAAGGTACATATTTCTTAGAATACTAAAATAAAAAAGCAAAAAAAAAAATGTTCGAGGAATCTAGACGCCTAGGCAGCCCATTAAACGCTCTGGGCGGGCAACTAGGCGCCCTAGACGGCCGACGAATTCACCTAGGCACCGATTGAATTAGTCGGGGCGCCTCGACCAAAATCGGGGCGCCCGACCACCGCCTAGCGCCTAGGCGGGGACTAGTCGGGCGCCTAGAGCGATTTTTAGAACAGTGCTTCTAACTGGTCATGTAATGGGCAACCCTAATAATGGGCAACCCTAATAATGGCCAAACGATTTTTGGAAGATATCTGATCGAACAAGCTTCTAAAAATGAAACCTTTCATGTAATGGGCAACCCTAATAATGGCCAAACGATTTTTGGAAGATAACTGCGTTTTATATGTATATAACGGGTGCAGTTATCTTCCAAAAATCATTTGACTGCCTTCCCGATTGAATTTTTTGCTTAAATTTGGTATGGATGTACTAGACTTGATGAAGAATATGCTCAAAAAAATTCATCGAAAAATTCCACCGGGAAGGCCCTCAAAATGTGGAGGCCGCACAGAGGCTCCTGTAAGGTATACCTTACCGGAAGAGTTCCCTATATATATACTCCCTCCGTCCCCTTTTAAATGTCCCGTTTTACCATATTGGGATGTCCCTATTTAATTGCCCCATACCTTATTTGGTAAACTTTGTGTGGCTCAAAATCATTCTTACTTTATTCTTACTTTATCAATTAATATCAACCACACAAACTCATTTTTCTTAAAACCCGTGCCACCATCTGCCGTCCCATTTAAAAGGGGACGGAGGGAGTATATATATATAGTTCGTATATATTTATATACGGAGTATTTATACGTCAAGGATTTGATAGGCCCAGAAATGTAAGCAACTGATGGGCCGTGGAAGAGATTAAAGGAGTGTTTGGGGTTGCTTAAAAAAAGCATTTTTCAGCTTTTGGTTTAAAAAAAGTTAAAAAGAGTGTTTTCAAATGAAAGCTTCTGCTTAAATTAATCACTTAAAAGCTAAAAGCTGGAAGCAGGTAGAAGGGTGCTTTAAACTGCTTTTCACTTTTTCTATTACACAAAAAGTACTTATTTTACCAAACACTACCAACTTTTACTTTTTCAGAATCACTTTTTTCTCAAACACTACCAACTTTTACTATTAATCACTTTTCCCAAAATCACTTTGTGCAAAATCACTTTTTTAAAGTTGAAGCAATTGCAAACACTCCCTAAATGAAGGACGGAAGCAGGACCAAAATTAAGATAACGATTGATTTGGGATGATTCAAATTAGCAAATATTAAGGGATAAGAATAGAAGCCAACGTGTAGAGCCAAGGCAGTTAAACAAGAGCAACAAACTCGGAGGCTAATCATGCGGAAGGGGAAGCCTCATCCCATTAAATAGATTAGACGAGTAACGATGTAACAGACTGAATCATTCTTGTTCAACTAGCTTACTCAGATCATTAAGCTTTAATTGCTACTACTTAGTAACGAAGTATTATTTTCCAATTCATTCGTCCATATTTGGTTGTCAGTGCTTGATTCCCAATCCCAGTTCATTTTAGATTAGTTTAATTCTAGCTTAGGAATTAGGATTCAGTGCAAAATAATTGTATATATTATCTGTATAATATATACAGAGTAACAGAGTATATGACATATCGGTGCATATTCATATTGACCGAATGTTTAATCAGATCAAAAAGAAAAACATCAACGACATGCATAAACCCGTCCATCAGCTTTAAAAACATCAATAACACGTTTGTGAAGGGTGGATTTTGATCTATCACTGGACATATTCAGGCTTCTATCCGATAAAAGAAGATGAGATAATTTAGATTAAACTCAAGAGGAGATGAAGCAGACGGTAGGAAAGATACGGCCATAAGAAGATAGTGAAGGGCAAGATTGTCCAACACTTTCAATACACCCCAATTTGGGGTGTTAAAAAAGCTACTTATTGATGTGTTGGAAGGGTATTCCTTAATGCTTGTAAACACTTATTAACACTCCAATATTTTTTTATTTTCACTCTCAAACAAGTGTTAAGCCTAACACAATAACACCCCTTAACACTTCCATGCTAACACTTTCTAACACTCAATCCAAATTAACTTGACGTGTGATATAAAAGTAAAAAAATAAGAAATGAACGCATTAAATTTCATCACATCTGAAGCTACTTCGAATAATGGAAGTAAAAGATCATGTAAAAGATACTCCGTAATGAGAACAGCAAAAGAGAAAGAGCATTCCACAAGTAATTAGCAGACCCGGCCGGTTTCAAAATCAAACAAAAAACACACAGGAGTGGACAATGGAACTGCGGGTAAATATGTAGGATAACATTAGGGACACAGGCAGGTGACAAAAGGTTGCAGTTTTTTCCTAAGTTGGGCAAGTCTTCCAGTGGCGGTCCTAACTCCGGCCGTAAAAGTATAAGAACAGTCATCTAGAGCAGCAACTGCGTGTTGTTCTATGTCAGAGGACCAGAACTCAGCTACTGATTGGCCATGGGCTGTTCTTTGGCCTTCAAGCAGAAAGAACAGCATCCATTTCAGCTCGATCCGGAGCTCGTCAACATCGTTCCTGCGGGCATGACTCTCCAAATATGACAGCGTTGCATTTACAGCGGATATGGCCTCTTTAGTCTTTGGCTGCATCTTTACAAAGGGAAGAAGCTAATCCAGATGGTTGATAACTTGATCGATAGGATACGCGGCCCTCTTATAGGAACGACAAGATTTTAATGTGGAATATAGAAAGTCTTCATATTCATAAATAGTCATCCATTTTAAAACGTTGGGTACCTAAAGAGTTGATTACCTTATACGGAGTATTGTTGAATTCGAAAAGTGTAACGTCAGATGCCAATTCCTATAATCCTATGCATTGCAGTTTTCCTTTCCAAAGTATATAAAATGCTTGAAATTTAAAAGCATACACTTGATTGAGTTTCTCAAGGTATGATCAAGAGAAAATTCTTGGAATATGATTAAAATAGATTTAGTTTCTCAAGGTATGACTCAATTTGATTTTTTTTACATTCATATGATTCAAAAGTAGGACAAAATGTTCCTTATAGTAAACAGGATTGAAGGATCACAAAAATAGCCTTATAAAGAAACGTTAATCTTGCACTAATTTCGTCTAATTGAATATACATCCACCAATGTACCTTAATATAATTCTCTTCCAATTAATGGTATTGTCCTTTATCGATTGACCGTAAAATCATTGAGTGTCTCGAAATAAAATCAATACTTGCACTGCCATTGTAGTATAGCGTATTAAGGTTCGTATCTACGGTGAAAAGTAGTTATTCTTTGTGAAAGTGTAACAAAGGAGGGTTTTAAGTTAATTTGACTTGAGAATATTTAAACACTTAGATGAATGACTTGTGTGATTAAAAATGTAGAGAAGGAGACTTGATTTTGCTAATTTCCACGTAGTGAAATGTTCGTCGATCTCAGTTATATCTTTAACTATATGCGCGCAAATACTCAATCGTGAAGTATTCAGACCTGTTTACTAATAGAGATCTTTTCTAGTTTTCTTTTCTATTTTCTAGGGGTAAGCAAAAATACTGAATCGGCATGGTACCGAACCGAATCGGTATGATACCGGACCGTAAAACGGGGTTTGAAATGGATTTCAATTTTTTTGTCCCGAATCGGACCATACTGATTCAAACAATGCCATGAACGGTTCTCATAAAATGAGAACCGATACCGGATCGAACCGGACCGATTATGATTTAATTATTTACATTTACATTTATACCATTACTTTGACTAGTGCATTCATACTTTCACCGCCTTTGCTACTTCATATGAAGCCTGGAACCGGACTAATGTATGGTTTAATTATTTAAATTTGTACTACTTTTGTTTATTTGAAATTTATTAATTATTTAATGGTACCTCCATCCCAAATTAATTTGCAAAATTAACTTTACTTGGTCAAACAGTTTCATTTTATTCACTTAATTAGGATGTCGATTTTTAATTATATTTAATATTGCAACTTTGAAGAGATTTAATTTAATTTAGTTTCTCAATATGTAAATTTTAATTATTTAATAAAGAGAATTTAACTTTAACATTGATTGCCAAAAATTGCCTTTGGATATCAATTTGGGACGGCGAGAGTATGAAAATTGACAAATTATGTGGATTTTTGGAGAATGACTAAACTTTAATTTCTCTTTAAACATTTGAAAAAATGGCATTGTTTGGTATTGGTATGACATGATACCGTCCCGTTTGAAAATGGAACCGTACCGAACGGGTTTGGGTCTAAGACCGAAATAGTAACGGTCCGGGTTCAGCCAAATATTGGACCGGACCGGAGCGCGCCCACCCCTACTATTTTCTGTTCTCCGATTTTTTGTTTTCATTTTCCTGTTTTCACATCTCCAATTTTATGTTTTCATTTTTTTTATTATCAATTTTCAAATCTAAAACATGTTCATCAATTTTTTCACCTGGTTATGTGACTGATCAAAAGACCAAAAGCACGCTTCCAAACCGAACCTAGTAGGCTAGTACAACCAAGTAGGGTACCAGGTCCCACGACATATATAATTCGGGACCAAAATTGGTCAGTCTTGGTCGATCTCAACGATTCATTTGACTAATTCTTTTCTCATTTCCCTATTGGTTGAAAAACACAACGACTCTTTTAAAACTCTTCATTCATTTTAAAAAATGATTTCGAAATAATCGAGACTGAACAGTTGGGTCATTGATCGGCCTAGGCAGGGACTGCCAAGTCATTGATAGGACTTGTCCGGGACCACCCGGTTATCGATCGGACCGAACAGAGAGCCCTGGGTCATTGTTTGAACATGACGGGATCCGTCGAGTCATTGACCGGACAGTACGAGGATGGCCGGATAGTTTACCCGATCACACAGGGACAGTCGAGTCGTTGACATGACCGTAACAGACCCGGACTGCCTGACCACCGATCGGACCGCATAGGTGCCGCCTGGTCGTGGATCGGACCGAACAGAGACTGCCGGATTATCGACTGGACATGAAATACACCGTCGGGTCATTGACCGTACGGGACTCACCTTCGAGACTTGATATCCCACATCAGATTGTGACCCATATGTAGCCAATCAAGCTTCATCCCACATGAGAGTGCAAACACATGGATGGATTTCAAAGGTCTCAAATACCAAGCCTAAATGCATAATGAGGAGTGACCGCTATTATAGAATGTTCATACCAGTGTAAACAACAATATACTAGTACAACATAAAAGAATTAGCTTCGAAATTAGGCAAAGAAATTAATAGGGGTTGTGAATAGAGATGGCAATTATGACCGATCCAATGGATACCCGCACCGAACCGCCCCGGTCAAAACGGGGAAAACCACATTGACTGGGTAACGGGTACGGGGCGGGGAATACCCGTTTTGTTTTTACGGGTAACAGGGCGGTTATGGTTTTATACATGTCCGCTCCATTACCCGCCCCGTACCCGCCCCGTTTATTTTTAGTTATATTTTTATTACATTTTTATCTATTATTTGTCCCACAAGTAATAGAAGATGAGATTTTTCTATTTTCATTGTATATATGGATAATAGATGTACTAACTATAATGTTTCAATGAGAGTTCATAATAGCTCTTAATAGTCTTGTTTAATTATTATCAGATTTTTTAGTGATTAATTATTTTTCAGATTAAGTATTTTTAGGTTCAAATTAATTTATGTTGTCTTCTTTCTCATTTTGTAGATATACGAAACTTAAAAGTGGCGTCTGAGTCTAAACTCATATAGGTTATGTCATTTTTCGCCCTTTAAAATACAAAATATTATTTTTATATTAAAATATCAATGACTCATATAATAAAGTGATTACCCGCGGGTACCCGCGGTTATACCCGTTACCCGTTGGGGCAGATATGGTTTGGGTAAAAATTACCCATTGGGTAATGGGGCGGTTATGGGGCGTGGAATTATCAAATGGGGCGGGTACGGTTATATGTAAAACCGTCCCCGAACCGCCCCGTTGCCATCCCTAGTTGTGAATAGTAATTTGATGCACCTTGAGTTTCTTGCTTATTTGATTGAACACGGTTCGGTCAACGTGTATTAGGGGTTGTGAATAGTTATTTTAGGGCTACAAATAGAATTGGACATAGAAAAATACAAGTGTTTTTAAGGACAAGACATGAAGAGTGATATGAACACCTTGAAATTTTTAAGTCTGTCTTCTTGGGCCAAAAAAAACCTACTCCGTATGTTTTTACGAGTTACGACTGACGGAAGGACAACCAGACCTCCATGATCTCATTTAGGGCTGAACAAAATGGTTTAGTTTGACAGTACTGAACCGAACCAAAATTGGTGATTTGGTTTGATTTGGGTTTATAGAAGTAAACCGATTAATATGAATTTTATCAAACCGAATGGTTTGGTTGTTTTGGTTTAAAATCGTAAACCGAATCAAATACTGAACGACATGTAATATATATATATAAATACTTTGTATTTTTCTTCACTATATCTTTCGAATATAAATAATTTAGACGTGAAAAACAAATTTAGCATATACATTATTTTAACTTTTACACATTTCATACATTCATTTTAACTTTTTTGAATTCAGTATTAGTGGATATTTTTCTAAAATTTCAAACATTTTTTTAAGTTATTATAAATTCATTATTTTATAATCGTGTAAAGGTAAGCTACAAATATAAATAAAAAATCATAAAATTTTTCATAATATGATTATATATATGGTGGAGGCTCGCATGAGTAAGTCAAAAACATCAAATTCAAACCAGCTCAATGATCAAGTCGGGGCAGATCTAAAAATTCATCCAAAGGGTAAAAGAGTGGCTATACCAACATTGAGTGAAAAAGATGAATGCAAAAAAAGGAAACTTATCCACAAGATCACAACTCCACAAGGTCCGGAATGAGAAGCACCATAGAGTGTTTAATGATTTTTTAATTTGTACGAAACTAGTAGAATTAATTTAAGTGATAAGCAGCTGGTCGATCGGTGTGGTACCGTTGAGCTATCTTCAATGCAAACCATGCTTTAACAACAATCGGCGAGGAAAGCCGATGACTTTTCATATTCCAATAATCTCCGACGTGGAGATTCTCATCGTTGATGGCCGGCCAATCATTTTGAGCAGCTATAGAACTTGGCCATCGGATGTTGGTGTGAGCCACTATAGCATACCGTTCAGCCAGTTTTTCAATCTGAAGGTCAGCATGTTGAAATACCACCGTAAAATCGTTGGGTAATTCCCGGCGAGGGTTGAAACGAGTGGTGAGAAACGGAGCAATATTATCCATGGGAGGATAAATCCAGTCTCGAGTGGCCGCGTTGCTTCTCGGATCACCGTGAACAACAACAGCACCAACGCCTTCGAGAGAGATGCATTTGAAGGGGACCGACTCATTGAAGTACTGAGCATAATTTTGCATGATAAAGTTCACATTCTGGAACCATGCGGGGTTCCAGTTTGTGACACAAATCCAAATAGTTGGTGATAATGAGAGAATGGATCACGCGTCGCATCAACCCGACTGAATCTGATATCACAAAAAGCCGCATTCCAAAACCATCGTGCGGCCTCGAGTTGTTCACTCGAGGTCCACAGAGACCCACAAAGCTGTGGACCCATGCAGTTGAAGGAATTATGAGTGTCGATATCTTGTGAGAAAATGTTCCCATACCATTCAAACTTGTCAAATATGGTTGTATCCTCAGGGATCTGCCAGGTGGCGAAGTGGTAGAGCTGGTCGAGGATAAGGGCAGGGACAGGGACTTGGCGGGCATAGTCACTATTAGCATGGAATCCCACGGCGTTCCAGAAAATCGAGAAGCCAGGCAGATGAGGAACGATATCCCCAATCCAGTCAAACGGGCCGCTGACCGCCGCAAGGGACTGGAAGAATGGGACCAGTGGGCCGGGAATCATGCATTCGCCGATTTGAAAATGGGGCAAGTCAAACATAGCGCCGTGACCGGAGTTGACGAAGACTTTGAGAATCATAAAATTCCAGAGAACGGATATGTAAAGGTGGGAGACGATCGGGAGCCACCCGGGGAATGAGCGGGTAAAATGGTCGGTGGAGTTCATCATCCCGTCGCAGATTCCGAGGACGTGGAAAAGCATTTGGGCGTCAGGGACGAAGAGATTGGCGGGGCCTCTTGGGAGGGTGTACATAGGGTTAACGGCAGTAATGTCAAGCATGGCAGGAACGCCGGGAACGGCGGCGCTTGGGGCTACGGGGATGAATCCGGTGGGATCGCGGTTGCGCCGGGATGGAGTGTTTGCTGAGGAATCCGCTGTGCCGCTGAGGTAAGGATAAGGATTGTTCCCATGCATAGCGAAGTTTGGTGATCGAGTGAGGCACGATCGTTGAGTCAAACAGGAGAGGAGATTTGTTTTGTTTTTATTTTAGATTTCGAAATATTTGCCCAATTAATTGATGAGCGCCGTTCCCTACAGACCTTTGTAGCTGTCAATCTGTCATACTTTTTGTGCTTTTGAAAGAGTCATAATTACTCGCTATGATAAATTATTACAACGGTTGTTGCTGAAATAGTATGAATCGTCGGGTTTTATTTGGTGCTCTTCTAACCCTTTTTCAATTATTTTGTGGAAAGAGAGGGTTAATAGATACGGAGTACATTCAAATTGAACTCCAAAAATTAAAAACATTAACTTTTTCGTGAAAACTTTTAAAATCATACTCCCTCCGTTCCTAAATGTTCCAATTGCGGATTACGAAGGTTGACCGACGATAAAGTTAAATGATCCCTGTGAAAACTCGGATTATTTTTAGTAAATAAAATTTACATATTCAGAAACTACATTAAACCCGCTACAAAACCTGCAAAAAATAATTCAACTTTTATAACATTTTGATATAAAAAGTAAGAGTTTAAGAGTGATTTAAGTTGACCCTCGATAAGCGAAATGGAACTTCTTTTAGGGACAGAGGGAGTAGTTTTCTGGATCAGGGGTTTTAGGGGTCAAGATCTGAACCGGGTTTTCACGGGTTAATCTGATTTTCCTATTCCCTCCGTTCCTAAAACGTTCGCCAACTTTAACTTTCACGTGGATTAATAAAGTAAAAACTGTGTGGTTAAAATTTGTGCAGAGGAGAAAGAATTAACTTTAGCCACATGTTCCTTACTTTAAATGGAAATGACAAATCTTTTTGTGACATCCAAAAAAGGAAATTTGACAAACCTTTTCGGGACGGAGGGAGTACTTTTTAGTAGGGTGGGCAAAATTACCGAACCAGAATGGTACAACCGGTATGTGCATTTTGAAAGTTGCGGATGCTCATTTGATACTGATATCATGCTCATTTTTAAAATGACATATCAATGCATATTTCAAAAGTGCCATATTAGATTAAATTTGCATATTGAAGTTTATAGAAGTTGATTATAGATATAATTTAATAAGTTTTTATAAAAGAAAAACTATGAAAAAGAAAGTGAATTACAAAATATGAAGGAGATATCGTGATGCTCATTGTTAGACTTCTAATACTCAATACAGAAGGTTTGATGCTAAATGAAATATTTTGATGTTCAACTAATGAAGTTTATTTTTTCATATCAATGTCCATTTTGTAAGCTATGTGTGTTCATTTGGTATTGATGTGATGCTCATTTTAAAATGTCATATCAATTCTTATTTCAAAAATATTATATTACATTAGATTAAAATATTAAAAGCTAGTTATAGATATAATTTAGATTTTTTATAATAAACAAAATATGAAAAACAAAGTAAATTAGAAAATATAATGCGGAGATCACAATGCTCAATATTAGCCTCATAATACTCAACATAATAAGTCTGATGCTCATACCAATATCAGATGAGCATACGTAACTGACAAAATGAGCATCGAAAAATTCAATAGCTCATTTAATTTGAATTCTCTAATGTGTTCACATATTCATCCTCTTATGCTCATTTCTTTTAATCGTTATATTATTCCTTTCTATAATATGTACATGTAATAGATACATAATTAACAATTTACTAAATCATCATTATATATCATAATTTTATATTAAAAATATTTTATAGTCTTTCTTTCTTGAATTAAAAATATAATCATGTTCTTCTTCTAATATCTACTCATGCAGATTTATTTTACATTATACTCATTTTAGTATAACACAAAACTCATAATAGTAATTAAAACACAATAATTAAGACATTAATAAATATTCATCTTAAAATTTAATAAATTAAAATTAATGACTAACATATTTTATAATGCACAAATTTTAAAAAATTAAGTTAGAAAGTTGATTGGAAAAAGTAAAAATTGTTAAAGAAAAAAAAAACGGAAAAAAAGAAGAAGCAGGAAAGCAACGAATAAGAGAAAAGTGAACAAAAGACAAAAGGAAAAATCAAGGAAACGGAAGAATAAAAGAAACCGGAAGGAACGATCGGCAGCCAGAAAGAAATTAACTGGGGAAGAAGGTTAAGAGCAAAGTATTAAAGGGGATGAAGTTCATGGGAATTACAAGTTTACCTGGCTGTACGGTGCACACCGTACAGCCGGTTGTAAGATATACGGATCCCACGTCAACACCACATACCGGAGTCCCTATATCGTACACCCGGATGTACGTACATCAGGCCCAATTAATGAATTTGACTGGTAGTAGGGAACTGGATTCCTTCACAAAAAAATTAAGAACCCCGACAGGATTCGATCCCGTGACCAATAATAGCATATGCTATCTTCCAACCATCCCACCAAGTCATCTTGTTGTAATATTTAGTTCTTTTATCTAACTTATCCTATATAGTTTCATACTGCGTATTATTAATAGTAATTATAATATTAACTATTCTTTTGCCTTTTCTCATTATTACTTCATTAAAAGAGTAATTCATATTTTTGAAGTATTTATTTGATCTATGAATGATAGTATTAATTTATATAAATATATTTATATTTTTTTTTATATAGTGTTAGGTTCCTAATAAGCGTGATGCTCATCAAAATTGTTTTAATGCTCATAATAGGTCTGATGCACATTAAAAGTTTAATAATGCTCATTTAACAGAAACAGTGTTTTCATCTCAATATATGATATTTGATGCTCAATGAATATGTTGTTATTCAAAGTAACAAACTTTGCGATTTTCATATCTAGGAACATTTTGTAAGATGTGCATGCTTATCTGGTATTGATCTTATGCTTATTTTCTAAATGTCATATCAACATATTTTCTTTAAAGTACTGTTTTACATTAGGTTCACATATTGAAATTCATAGGAGTTGATTAGAAATATAATTTAATAAGTTTTTATAAAAGGAAAATTATATTTATATGACATTGTAAAAATGAGCATAACATGATTACCAAATGAACATACATAACTTACAAAGTGCACATTGATATGAAAATCGTAACATTTGTTAGTTGAACATCGTGACATTTTAATTGATTTTTCAACCTCCACTATTGATACTTTTGAAATATGCATTGATATGAATTGTAAAAATGAGCATTACATTAGTAACAAATGAGTAATAATGAACTTTTAATGAGCATCAAACCTTTTATATTGAGAATTAGGAGTCCAATATTCAGAATCATGATCTCTGCTTCATAACTTCTAATTCACTTTCTTTTTTTGTTATTTTTTCTTTTATAAAAACTTATTACATTATCTTTATAATCAACTCCTATGAATTCCATTATGTAAATGTAATTTAGAATAGTACTTTTAAAAATGCATTGATATGACATTTACAAAATGAGCATAACATCATTACCTGATGAGCATACGTAACATACAAAATGAGTATTAATGAATTTTTTTAGTTGTTTTGTTAGTTGAACATCACAACATTTTAATTGAGCATCAAACCTTCGTTATTGAGATGAAATTCACGGTTTCTGTTGAATGAGCATTAATGAACTTTTAATGAGCATCAGACCTATTATATTGAGTATTAGAAGTCTAATATTCAAAATCGTGATCTGTGCTTCATAAAAAATGAGCATAATATCAGTATCGATTGAGCATATGTAGCTTACAAAATAAGCATTAATATGTTGAGCATACGGACATTTTTCATTGAGAATTAAACCTCCTCTACTGAGTATTAAAAGCGTGCAATTGAGTATCGATTGAGCATCAAGACGTTTTTATTGAGTTCAAATCGCCTGTTAATGAGCATCAGATGTATTCTATTGAGCATTAAGAGTCGAATAATGAGTAATGCGATATCAATTTCATATATTGTAATTCACTTTCTTTTTTCTTTTTTTTTTCTTTTATAAAAACTCATTAAATTATAACTATAATCAATTCATATGAATTTCAATATGTGAATCGAATATAATATGGTACTTTTAAAATATGCATTGTTATGACATTTTAAAAATGAGCATAACATGAGTACCAATTGAGCATATGTAACTTACAAAATGAGCATATATATGAAAATCATGAGGTTTGTTAGTTGGACGTCACGGTATTTTCATTAAGCATCAAACCTCCTATATTGAGATAAAAATAACGCTTTCTGTTAAATGAGCATTAATGAACTTTTAATTAGCATATGTAACTTACAAAATAAGCATTAATATGAAAATAATAAGCTTTGTTAGTTGAGCATGAAGACATTTTTTCATTGGGCATCAAACCTCCTCTATTGAGTATTAGAAGCGTGCAATTGAGTACCGATTGAGCATTCATAAATTATAAAATGAGCATTAGTATGACAATCATAAGTTTTTTTAGTTGAGTGAGCATCAAAACGTTTTAATTGAGTATCATGATCTCTAATATGACTTGAAATATGCATTGATATGACATTTTAAAATATGCATTGATATGACATTTTAAAATGAGCATTTAACCAATACCAGATGATGAGCATATGTAACTTACAAATGAGCATTTAACCAATACCAGATGAGCATTCATAACTTACAAAATGAGCATCAAAAAAATTCAAAAGTTCAATTGAAATCTCTAATGTGTTCAAATATTCATTTGTGTATATTCATTTATCAATGCACATTTAAATTAAATAATATATTCATAATTATTTAGAAGATTGGAGCTTTTAATAGAAGAGTGAGAAAAGTATATGTTTTTATTGAATTGCTATTCAATATGAATTTTTGAAAGAATTGCATGAAAAACATATTGTAGAAAAATTACATAAAAATAAAAAAGTAAGAGTTCAAAATTAGAGAACCGGAAGACAAAAGTATATACAAAAAGAAAAAAGAAACAAATGAAGCAGAAAAAAGAAAAAGAAATGTTAAAGTTAGAAAAAATAAAGTTCAAAATTAAAGGAAAAGAAAAAAGAAAAACCAAAGCATGAAAAAGAAAATAAAAACTTAAACATAGAAAACTTAAAGTTCAAAATTAAAAGATAAGAAAACAGAAAAACGAGAACTATAAAAAGGTAAAAAGGAAAAACGAGAAGGAGCAACCAAATGATAAGTGGATAAGGAAAAAGTGTAAATTACTCGTAACTATTAAGAAAAGGAAAAAGAACAAACGAAAGAGCAGCGACAAGGAAGAGTAGCAAATGCCATGCTCCGTAATTAACCACCTCAAGTTTATAAGTAATTACAAAAATACCTGGATGTACCAAATCACACGGTACATCCGGGTGTATGATATATTTTGCCCACATACCGGATCTTGGATCATGATTTTTTGATCTGATTTTGTTTTATGTAGACTAGTTATAAAATAAACGGATATTTATTTTGCTCTGTTTATTTATATTATTCTTTAATTTGTACCAGAACACAATTGGCAGAAAGAAGTAAGGGCAGGAGTTTGGAATCAAGAATCGGAAAATCGAACCGGACCGAGCCATTATGATCCGATTCGGTTCGGTCAAAACATTTTTAAGTTACTCCATACTACGTATTTGTTAATGGATTGGTTCATGTGTATCTTGTTATTGATAATGATTCTTGTGAATGAACCATTATTTGGATTAGTATTAGAGTTTTAGACTATTTTATCTACAAATCACTTGTTAAGTGTTATTTTGTGAATAAGCAAAACACACTATGCACTTTCTTTTTATCCCACAAGTTTTATCTTGTAACCTGATTACTAATTAAGGGTAAATAATAAACGTGTAGGAAAGCGCAAATTTTACGTGACTAGAAGATATATCCGATCTCCGAGCCATTTTATACCCTTACATTATACCAGTCACTTCAATTGAATTTATTTCTTCGTATTAGAATATGTTAGAATCATGAATTGATTTCGATAGGGTATAGATCAATCTTCAAGATCCTTCAAATTCTATATTTGGTACATAGCTATTAGATTCAACTCAATTATTAATCTTCTCATATAAGGAAGGTTAAATATGAACTATTTATCGGATTTAATAGATTTAATCTCTTTTTGAACTGAAATAGTTAGGCAAATATATATAGCTTTAGGCCATCTTTCATATATACATATATATACCAATTCCAATCCGCCCAACCATGGCTTCAGGAAATTGATACAATTAAGTGGACACGTGACGTGTGAATAATGGCAGTAATTAGTGGGTAATGCATCTACCTTATAAAAATGATGATTTTATTTTTGGTATGATACAATCATCATAAATAATTATTGATAGATATTCATTATTTTTGCACTTATTTGTTAATTGTACGTACGTATATAAGGAGTGTTATGGCGAATTAACGCATTAAGTTTCTAATTATACGTATATAAGTTTCTTTCTTGCCAATATATATACCTTAAACGTACGGAGTATGAGTTATCATAACTCAAATTTAGTTTCTAATTTCAGGGTTCAAGTAAAAAATGAGAGATGCATTACGCGTCATGAAATCATTCCCGAGCTTGCCGCGATTAGTTGTGATAGATCTCGACTACACTTTGTGGCCCTTTTACTGGTAAGCATGCCTCCCCTCTATAGTTTTCATTTTAATAGTATTATATATTGAACCATTATTCAATATAATACTCGATAAGTATTAGCTAATTACATGAACTCCTATCGAAAAAATAGTATTAAAATTCTAGATAGAGGTGATGCATATATGTAGATCAACACTTATTATCGAGAAATAATTAAAAAACTAGCATCAAAGTAAGAAAATTTTTCAAGGTTACACATTTAATTCTTTTTATTTTAATTCGAGTAAGTTTGATTTGGACATTTGAATATTTGAAGTACTTTTTGTAGGAGAGCTTCGATTCCGGTCATTTTAATCTTAAAATTGCTCGTTTCGTGTATACCGAGTCAAATATTTGTCTATTCTTAAGTTCTAAGATTCGATCTGTAATAATTTGAATTGTCAGGAAGTTGTTTTCCATATTTTTTAATACTAATCTGATCTGGTCTATTTTATTTAAGTCTAATCCTAATTGGTCTGATAGATTTCTGACCTTTATGTTTTTTACAACCGCAAAAGTTTGATTTTGTGTGATAGAGTTAGGTCAAGTATGGTCTGTGTTGGGACCGAAATAATGATTGGCAGTTTGGCAAGAAGATGCATACAAATGTACAATAATCACTGGTTTGGTAGTATATTATGTGTATGTAGCTATATGGTGTGTAAAACAATGACTCCCTCCAGTAACACACATACATATGTGTGAGTGGTTAATTAATGTATTTGTGCATCTAGCCAATATTAAATTTGGCAAGTAAAATCATCTTAAATATTGATTTATATTTGTAGCGATCTCAATATATATTTGTTCATTTATATTTAGGCTTATCAAATACTCCGTACTACGACGTATAACTTCTTTACAACTTAATTTGTTTGAATTTTACTCAAGAATCACGATAGAGTTTATACCAACGGTTAATGCATTCACCTACCCCAAAAAACATTTTAAACTTGGTAATATATATAGAATCATTGCAAATAATAATGATTCAATTCGTATCTTAAAATGTTTTTGTTCACTGACAACTTAATGTTGTGTCGCATTTGATAACTTAATTTATCATTTTTTTTTTGTCAAAATTTTACTGTAACATAGAAATTTTAATTTAATTTATATCCTCATTTTTCAGTCATAGCCGATCTGAACATGATTACGCAGAATTGTTTCCTCAAGCGAGAGAGATATTAGTGGCTCTATATGAAATGGGAGTTGGCGTTGCAATTGCCTCAAGAACACCCACTCCAAACATAGCTCGTGTTTTCTTACTTAAGCTAGGTTTAGGATCAATATTTATTGCAAAGGTAGTATCTAATTTACCCCCTTCACATTAAATTATTTATATTTAATTGATTTATATATCTGTGATTTTGATGTGTGTATATATATATATATATATATGGTTGTTAATTTTTTATTATGATGATTAGGAAATGTTTCCAAGTAGGTCACCCAAAACAGAACATTTTGAAAGGATCCATAGAAGAACAATGGTGCCTTATAATCAAATGTTGTTTTTTGACGATGAGAAAAGGAACATTGATGCGGTAAGTCCACTGCTTAGCTATAAGTGTAATATATTTCTCGTTAACTTAATTTTTTTTTTTAATTTTCATCAAGTTCACAAATTTATTCTAATCTTTATCTTTTATTAAAGAGACTCAAATTTCATCTTTTTAAATTAGAAAAGTTGTGTCAAATTATCACTTATCGGTATCAATAATGTTTATATATTTCAATATTTGTATCTAATTAAATAATACCTATTCCGTAGTAACCAGTCATTTACCTTTTGTATAATTTTAGCGATAACTAAAATAAACGGGAAAACTGTCAATTTGGTTCTCGTACTATCACAAAAAAGTCAATTAGGTCCTCGTATTTTAAAAAAATTCAATCAAATCCCGAACTTTGTAAAAACGTTCAATTGTGTCCATTTGCAGGTTACTTGCCGTGTCAGCAGATCATTTGCTGACGTGACGCACACGTGGACCGCCACGTGTGCACCGTGCCATCATCAAATGGGTGATTGGACTTCCACATGTGTGTCACGTCATCAAAGTCGCTGCTGATTGGACTGCCACGTGTGCGCAGTCAGTGGATGACCTACTGACATGACAAGTAACCTGCAAATGGACACAATTGAATATATAGTTGATTTATTTAGCTACTAATCTAAAATGTAATCATTTTTTTAATTTAGGCATCTCAAATGGGAGTGACAAGCGTGTTGGTAACCAATGGCATAAATCTTAAAGCTCTATATGAAGGACTCTCAGCATTCCATCAACGCCATATTCTACCTCCACAACATGCATTTATGATACCCCATCACCATCCTAGTCGAATTGCGCCTCCCGCCCAACCTCAACTTCATGGGTATTGCAACACGTCACATATTGTGCAACCTCGCCCAGAAGGATGTTGCAACATTCCATGCATGCATTTCAAAATGATGTCATTATGTCGCTATCGTCACCATCACCATCACCATCACCATAGCAATCGCCATAGGCACATTTAGCCATGTTTCAAGTTGACTTGTTCTGATTAATACTTTATTTAATTACATAATATTAACCATATTATCATGGTTCCTTCTAATTTTTTCATACAAGTGATCAAGATTATGTTATAAACAAAGATCTTGTATTTATGTTTTGTTCTAATTCACTCATACATGACACGTAGAGACGTAGAGTGGGGTTTGCTTATGATCATCAAACTAATTAACTTTAGGTTTTGTAAGTTAGTATGTATGTTAGTTCTTTTCAAGATGTTTTTAGTTGGACAGAAATTTTTTGGTCTGATCTAATTCTAGTCTAATCTAATCTAATCTTGTCTGGTCTGATCTGATCTGATCTGGGCTCTGTATATTTTATAATTGTACAAGTCTAATCTGACCTGCTCTAGTCTAGTCTGATCTGGTCTGAGACTGAAAACAGTCCAAGTACAAAAAAATCAGTATGAATACAATTTAATATAGAGTATTATTATTAACATTGTACAAAATATGAATATGAATGATAATTTCGTCATATATAGAGCGGGGGGGAGGGGGGAACTTGGGGTGTCATGTCGGGCTGGGTCCGAAAAACCGAAAACCGAAAACCGAATCAAATTAAACCGAACCGTAGCCAAATAAAACCGAATTGCTACGAAACCGAAATCGAATGTAAAAAACCGAACCGAACCGAAGTTGTTTGGTTCGGTTTTGGTTTTTACCCTTCAAAACCGAACCGAACAAACCGAACTATTTAAAATATGAAATTTATATGTTAATTGTTAAGCATTAATTCTAATAAATCTTAATATCATCAATAATCTTTGGTTTTCTTGTGTTAGAGAAATAATGTTTGTGTTATGTTTAATTTAATTTAGTTTATAAATTCATTTACACATTTCTGTAATAATGTAGTTATATTGAATGATGATAATATGTGTTTACTAGTTATTAGTAGTAATTAACTTTTATATTAGATAACCTAAAGATTTTATATTGATAAAACAATAAATATTCATCTCAACTATATCACATAGAACATATATATTCATGAATTTTTTTCAAATTACTCACAAACAAATTAAATCAAATCAATAATATATACCGTTTTATCTATCTCGCAAACTAATATAATTCAAGACATATTTATCTACTCTTCTCATTTTTATTTTATTTGTTGTTGTATTGTGATTGCATTCTTTATGTAACATGTTTGATCTCTCTAAGTGTTATATCAATTTTAAATCAAGTGACAATTTTTTGGTAAAAAACCGAAAAAACCGAAACCGAACTGAAACAAACCGAACCAATCAAACCGTGGTTCCAAGTTTTAGAGTGTAAAACCGAACCAAAACTGAACCGAACTTTTTACTTTGATTCTATATTTGGTTTTAGGTCAAAACCGAACCGCAAGAACCGAACCCACCCCTAGTGTCATGACTCATGAGCGCCGGGTACCTACTGAATTTTGGATCAGTATGTTTTGATCTGATTTTTATATCTAGCTAGGCTAGTCTTACTTGGTCCATTAGAAAAAACTTTAGTAATTAGATCTTACGTAGTACGAGTTAGGGGTGCACATCGCGGGTTGGGTCGGGTTTGCTATATTTTTTGGGCCTACCCAATTTATTCGGGTTGGCTATTTACCAACCCGCGGTATGAAATATAAGTTGGTAAACCATGCATGAACGGGTCGGGTAGGGTCGGATATTGAAAGGATTTTATTTCGGGTTGAATCTTTAATATGTGCAACTAACACATGCAATATGAATCTCGGTTAACTTGTTTCCAAAATACACAAACAAATGCAAGTACTTTTTATAAGAGTAAACTTAGGCAATAGTATCAAAACATTCTTGCGTAAAGGCAATTAATTTAGAAGCAAATGTGTGTATATATATACTAATCACCTAGTAAAAATGTTAAATGTTTATAATGCTAAAGTCACACTCTTAGATAGAGCACATACATCGATCTTAAACAAAAATTATCCAACAAAACTTTGTAGCATAAATATAATAAATTGAACTTTCGGTCTGGTCGGGTACTATCGGGTTTGAGATTTTAATTTCGCAACTCTACCCATTAGGTGCAGGTTTGTACATATTTAACCCGTGAATATTTTTAAAAATCAAATACCCAATTAAAAGTGATCGGGTAGAGTTGGGTCGGGTGGGTTATGCAGGTTCGGGTTATTCTTGTGCAGCCCTAATACCAGTATATTAGCCCCTCAAATATAATTAAAACGTGGATTAAATTAAAAAAAACGGCACTAGGTATGTTTTATTATGTCCCTCAAATATGATTTCTTTATGTAATCTGCTTGAAAAATAAAAACTAAAGACTTACCAAAAATGAGCCAACGAGTCACATAAAAAAGTTTTGTATGAGTGGGCTACATTGTAGGTCAATTAATTCCAAGGAAATATAGGATTGGGTCAGTGTGAAAGTTTTTTTGACCATGTGTCGTGAGTGCATCTTCAATGTTAAGGTGAATTTTGGAACCACCTGAACAAATGCAATCTTTGAATGGAATTGTCTACTCCAATGTCAAAAATAGATATTGTGGAGTTAAATAAAACGGCATACGGACAAGCACAACTTCCATGCGTGGCATTGTGGGCCTTCGGCGCCAGTGCGCCACCTTCTGACCAAAGCAAAGAAGTGGTGGGTGTTTATAGCAAAATAAACTAATCTAGAAAGATTATTGATTAGGTGACAACTCCGGTACTCATTTAAAAAAAAGGGTACCGTACCTATCATGCATTTGATTGGTCCAACTCATTAAATCCCTTTTAATATAGATTTAAATAATTCAACTGCATGATTCTGATTGGTCCATGTGGACAAAGGTACAGTACCTTATGGGTACCGTAGAATCTACCTATTGATGGGAATCAAGCAAATAGAATCAAACAAATGCTAAATAATTCGGCCGTGATGATTGATATTAGAAAGTATTAATATTGAGAACAAGAGTGTTTTGATCGTGGGTGTATCTTGATAGCAAAAGTGGGAGCCAAAAGTGTGTTACAATGACCAGGAACTATTCTATTTATTTAAGATTGGATTTCCCTTCCCGCAAGGCTAGGCGCACGAGCCGATTTTCTTGGCTTCACCCACCTGCTTCGTTGCACGTTGAACTGCCAATCTCCATCCCTGATTATTTGCTGAATTCAAATAACAGGAACTTTATCTCTCTCTTGGGCTTGATGCTTTTCTACTTAAATTATTTCACAGCCCACTAAGTGATTGTTTTGTTGGGCCTAACAGTGGGCCTTTAATCGATCATGAACAGTCAGTCATTTACTTTGCTCAACTTATAAAGCTGTGAGAAAGTTGGACAATGATCAAAGATCAAAACGCATCTGACTCTTGTTATGATTGGTTAAGTCACCTGATTGAAACTGTATATGAGGTCGAGTTTCTAGTATATAGGACTATAAGATCTACCATTGTTATGATGGATCAAGTCACGTGATTTATAACCTTCCATATATATATGCTCTCTCGATCGAGTAAGGGCTTGAGGGACTCCTGAGTAGGGCTGTAAATGAATCGAATAATTTTGATTCGATTCGTGATTCGAATTCGAAAATGCCGATTTGAATTCGTGTAAGTAGAATACGAATACAAATATAAATCTATTTTTTGATTCGAATACTTTAAGAATACGAATACAAATACTATGATATTCGATTCGAGTAATATTCGAATATATTCGAATTATATATATATATATATATATATATATATATATATATATCATACAATATATACTACTTCTTATAAATAAATTAATTCAATATAAAATATTAATAACATAATATTCATGTAAATATTTTTCATATTTTAATTTAAAGGTTCTTACTTTACCTGGTAAAAGTAGCTTAATTTACAATTAAAATTCTCTGTTACGTTGATTTCTTTATATTGATATTAAATTTGAAGTGACTTATATAAATATATTTTGTTTCGTATGAAATATGTAATATGAAAATGAGTTAAAAGGAGCAAACTATACATCATAATTTTAATTATTTTCACAATTTAACTTTAATTTTGTTCGAATTTGAATATTCGAATTCGATTCGAATATTTTTGAATATATCAAACGAATCGAATACGAATATAAAATAAGATTCGAATTTTAAACAAATACGAATACGAATATTCGATAATTTTACAAATACGAATAATATAATCAAGTATTCGGTTCGATTCGATTCGTTTACACCCCTACTCCTGAGGTTGGGAATTTAATCTTCTTGGACATGTGTTCGGCACTAGAGGGGTGTTTAGTTGACTCTTTTTATACTACCTCCGTTCTTAAATAAGTGCAACATGTGAAATTTTACACTATTCAAATGTTCTACTTTGACTACATTTTATTTATTGATGTATTAATATACTTTTTTGAAAAATATATTATTAAATTTGTCGCATTGTAAATTTTCAAAAACTGATTTTTTTAAATTTCTTACTAATAGAGAATTATATATATTAATGGTCAAAGTTGTGCCTCGGCAAGTGTGAAATGTTGACTGTTGCACTTATTTAAGAACGGATTAAGTATAATATTGAACCCAATTTCTAAATAGACATTGTCCAAACATTTGTGACTCCACTTCAATTCGAACGGATCGATTAGAGCATTTGAGATGAGCATCGGAAATGCTCTGAGCATGTAATTAATATAAATTTCATGAATATTAATAGTTTATATGTTATTTATAAGGTGTATATATAATTAGTTAATTATAACTTACAAGGTAGGTCGCAGCATGTCAGTTTAATTATATAGAGAAAAGTAAATATAGGGTTAGGCTAGTTAAAAACTTAGTTTGACAATATAATGCTTCACGTGATTTCTTGAAGTGGCAAATCTCCTCTTATCACGGGTGTTCACGTGAACATCCAAAAATAAAAAACAATGGGCATATATATAGAGTTTGATTCAAATAAAAAATATTTCTTAGATGAAAAATAAGAATTAATCTTGGTCATTGATGTGAAAAAATGGATGGACGAGATCAATTTTTAGGTTGGAAACGCGGTGGCATATTTGTAATTATGTAGAACTTTTATTGAAATTTTTGTTACAAATGTGCATCAGAATGTTCAAAAAGTGCACAA